ATGGAATTTGGATGATTCTGTGGTTGATATGATAAAAAACATTACCACTGGCGTCCTGCAGTACGCAGAAAATGCACCTAAAGATGCACCATTTGTTAAAGATTCCTTCACACGTGATCCCTTGAATGCAGACGACCTACAGAAGTCTCTGTCTCAGCTCTGCAAAGCAGTTTTTGACACCAAAGGCTGGTGGCCCACAGTGAGGCAGATGCTGCGGTGGTGTGCGTTGGTGCTGACTCAGAAGAGTGGAGAGCTACAACTGGTTGGTGTGGAAGAAGACCCATGTGTCACAGCCATGTTTGCAGCCACACAAGTCTGCATGGGAAACAAACTGGACATTGTGCTGAGCGCTGATGTTCCCTCAGAGGAGCAAACTAAGGAGTGGTCTGACTTCTACAAGCACCTGGGAATCTCTCTCAACACAAACATGAAGAAAACAAATGCATCTTACAGGGAGGTCTATGAAGCAGACATTGTGTACGGTACCATCAGTGACTTCATCTCTGATTACTTTCAGTACGGCATCGAGGGGATGGGAACAGGGAACCCTCAGCTTAGACGTGGATTTATCATTGAACAACAAAGTCTCAGTTCTTCCATAATCTGGAACTTTCCAGGCTCACGGACAATGATTCCCTGGTGTTTGCTGCAGAGGCCCTGCAAAGCCTCATGTGTAGATTTAAGAGTGAGGAAATTGAACCAAGACACAAGTTTCTTAAGGCTCTTTTTCAGGTGCTCCACACCAACCTAAACAACGGCACAAACACTGACAATAAAATCATCACCATCTCACAGAAAGTTACTGGAAAGGAACTTCCTTCTAATGAGGTCTTTGTTCTGACCTTTCTTGAGAATCTCCTGAGAGTGGTTACTAGAGAAACAGAAGCTGAGAAAAACAGGACATCTCCTGCAGGCAAATGGTGTTTGGAGATTTTATTTGACTGTGCAGAGCAGTTCCAAGACTCAACAGCACAAATCAAGGAACTCTTCCAGATGGTTTCAAATCTTGGACTTTGGTCCCCGTAAGGCCTTAAACCTCCTTGGAGCATTAACTGACCACCATCATGATGAAGACTGTATTTCCATCATGAAGATTTTACACTTGATGGCAACGTATCAGGTGTCTTCCACGTGGACAGACAAGGACAACCAATCTCTCCTTAAACTCTTTGAGTCAACTAGAACTGTGAATCTGATCCAGCGTCTCAAAAAGAGCCTGAGAGATGAGAAAACAAAAAGCCTTGACACTCTGTTTGATGAAATACGGCAGATGAAAGACATCGATGAACAAACACTGAGTAAATCATACAGTGTAGTAACTCATGTAACAAACCTGATCGAAACCGGTGAAATTAAAAACCACACAGATGTACAGCGAGCTAGGAATCTGAGTCACAGCACGGACACAGAAGACCTTCAGGAGGTCCTGGCAGTCTTATGCAATGCTGTAAACCTGTGCCAGGCTGAAGGGAAGTGGTGGCCCAGAACCACCCAGATGACCAGCTGGTGCCTCTTGGCCTTGTCTGACACTGGGATTCTCCTGGAGATGGGCACTGGAGAAGGGAAGTCTTGTGTCATAGCAATGTTTGCAGTGCTGCGTGTGCTTAGGGGTGAAAAAGTAGATGTGGTGTCCAGCTCTTCTGTGTTATGTCAAAGAGATGCAGAAGAATGGACCAACTTCTACAAGTACTTTGGCTTGACAGCTGACACAAACACAAATAAAACCCAAGATAAAGATCGCAAAGAATGCTACCAGAAGGACGTGGTCTATGGCACTATCGAAGCCTTCGCTGCAGATCACCTTCGCCAGATATTTGAGATGAAGGATGTGAGGCCTGATCGCAGCTATCAGTGCATCATAATCGACGAAGTGGACTCGCTGCTGCTGGATCAGGGAGTGCAGCTGACCTACCTGTCCAGCCCCATGGTCTGCATGCAGCACCTGAACATCATCCTGGCCATGATCTGGGGCCACGTCAGCCAGTACGGCTTCCTGTCTACAGGAGACCAGACATTTGTCCGAGGTCCTCCTGCTTCATTCTTCAAGGCCATCTTTGACTCAATAGACACAGAAGAAACTGACATTAATGATCCAATGGACATTTTACGTATCGCTGAAGAAACCAACACTGTGCCAAGTGGATTTACAGAGGATACCTACAAAAGTGAAAAGGATGAACTTCTGATCAAACTGAAAACTGTGAGTCAGGATGCTGTGGTAGAGTTTTTCCAAGAAATTGAGGACTATGTCCCCTATGGTTTCACTGTTTACACTTTAGACGACAAGGGATTGCTCCGTCTTAGAAAACGCAGCCCGTACAACAACAAGGACATTCCAGAGCTTAAATTTCTTGTCTTGGAGGAAGGCTTGTGTTGTACTCTCTATGATTCAGAAGAAATTCTCATCAAGCCCATTGCAAATTAATCTCAGAGAAGATTCAGTACACCCCATGTACAAACAATGAAGACAAAATCAGCATTCCTGGATTCTTGAAGAATCTGGTGGAGAAGAAAGTGTCAGTGTGGGTTCAGAATGCCTTTCTGGCAATGCAGCTGAAGCAAGGACGGGAATATGTTGTAGAAAACGACAACGTCTGTCCAGTGGATTTCAGGTCAACTGGTATAATAGAACTGAATAAGAAATGGGGGGATGGTCTGCAGCAATTTGTTGAGATTAAACACCAAATCAAACTGAGCACAATTTCAACAGTGACAAACTACGTGTCTAACATCTCCTTTTTTGAAAAGTACCATGGGAAAATATATGGAACAACGGGGACACTTGGGAGCAGAGCAGACATTCTGTTTTTGCAGGAGCTATATCCAAATCTTTCTGCCTTCAAAATGCCAACATTCAACAGGAAGAAGTTATTTGAGGTCAAAGGTACTCTGAAGACCTCAGCTGAAGAGTGGAAATCTGAAATAAAACGTGTGGTTATGGCTCAGATTTCCCCAAATTCATACAGAGATGGAAGAGCAGCCCTGGTGATCTGTGAAACTATCAACAAAGCCAAAGAGATCTACGAAGAGCTGAAAAGCAGCATCCCAGGTGAGATTATTCTCTACTGCCGCAGCGACAAAGACAAAATGGAAAAGGAACTGGTACCTGGTGATGTCATTGTTGCCACAAACCTTGCCGGGCGTGGCACAGACATAAAAGTGTCCAAACGGGTGAACAACAATGGAGGACTATTTGTGATCCTCTCCTTCCTCTCTGAGAACACAAGAGTGGAACTCCAGGCTTTTGGTCGAACTGCTCGTAAAGGAAACCTGGATCTGCTCAGATAATCGCGTCCACTGAACACCAGTCTTTCAGGACGGTGTCTTCTCTGGAGGAAGCTAAGAGCACAAGGGATAGACTTGCAGCAGAAAAGATAAATCACATGATGAACGATGTCACTGAGTTGAAACTGCGAGAGGACCTGTTTTCAGAGTACTGCAAAACTCTTGAAGATGTTTATAAGAAGACAGATGGAGAAGAGGAAAGAGCTGTTGTTGCCATCATGAATGAGTTCTGGGGGATATGGTTGCAAACAAAATCAGAGGAAATTGACCAGTTGAAGAGAAATGAATTGCAAAAGAGTTTGAAAGCTGATTTGTCATTGGCACAAAGTCAGTCTCAAAGTCAGACTTCACCGTGTTCTAGCATTTATCACTACATCACGTTTGGAAATGTCGCGCTGAGTGAAAAACAATGGGACGTCAGCGCCAGGCTATTTGAAAAGGCCATGAATCAAGATGAAAGCTGGGCAGCCATAGCTTTTTACAGTCATGCATACTGCACTATAAAGCAGCAGAAAGCAGATTACCTGACTAAGGCCAGAGATGATCTAAAGAAGGCTCAGGAGTCTCTGAAGTATCTCAGTGAACAATCCGTGGTCTGTCTGCAGTTTGTAAAAATGTCCTCTGCACACTCAGCCAACAGTAACCAAACCAGCCTTGAAAAACAGTTAACAACCAAGTGCAGCATGTTGAGTTACTTTGATAAAAACATTAGTGAGGCCATCCAGAAGCTGGATGAGATCAAAGAAAGAGGGAGGGATGCAATAGTCAAAAAATCCCCAATGTTCTCCCTGGTGTCGACTGCTGATGAAGAGCTCCAGGTGGAAGCCTACAACCTCTACAGTCAAGGTCTAAAAATATGTATTTTCTGTGGAAGAGGAGCCTCGTTTCTCATGGGAAGGTCTGCTGGTGTTCTGTCTTGGAGTTCTGCAGATTATTGGAGGAGCACTGCTCATTGCATTTACATATGGGACATTAGCTCAAGTCGGCATGGGACTCATCACTGAAGGAATATCAGACTGCATCACTGGCATAGAGGCCATGGTGACGGGAGAATTCAGCTGGAAAATCATGGGCTATAGAAAAAGCCATTTCTATAGGTGTATCTCTCATTGGGTTTGGAGTTGGAAAGCTGATTTCAAAGGGCTTCAAAGCTTCTAAAATGTTAATAAAGGTCTTTGGGAAACAGCTGAAGTTGATGCCAAAGTTTCTCTCCAGAGGGGCTAAAGATGGTTTAAGTGTTGTTGCAAAGACAAATATGAAGAATGCAGTAAAACTCACTGCTAAAAAAATGGTAGAGGAAATCATTACCTATGGACTTGGGAAGGCGGAAGAGAAAATACTGGAAGAAATACTGAACAGCATTAAAAATGAGGTGAAAAGGGGAATTGTTAACAACGTGAAATCCAACATGGAAAAAGAGCCCTTGGCTTCATTAGTAGACTCCATCGTCCTCTCACACCTTGAGGATAAAAAGCAGCTTCATGATCTCCTGCAGGACGAGAACAGAAAGCGTGAGCTGCTGGCCATTTTCAGAGAGTTAAGCAACACTGCTGTACAGCCGTTCTATGCAGACCTCAGCTGGCAGAACAAGCTCAACTCTTCCTTCTCCACAGTGATTAACAGAGCGAAAGCAGAGACCAAAGGAACAGCACGTGGAATTCTGACGGCCATCCAAGCTGTCCACATGGGAGTACTAGAAGTAGACGCCATTAGTACAGTGCACAGCCTCTCCAGCAAGTTTTTCTCAAACCTCCATGAACAGCTGAATATATTTAAAAAAGAAAAAGCTTTGTCAGAGAAAGTGAAGGTAAATGAGCTGTCTGCTTCTGATGCTGAGATGCTGAAAGAATTCAAGCAGGACTTGGCTGACACCATCAGTGCTTTATTGGCTGATGCTTTGGTAGAAGTGTTCCACCAGAAGTTCTCCAGTCACATTGTTTCTCGTGTTCAAGGCAAAGTAAATGGCGTCATTGGCCGTTATGTAAGAACTGGCTTAAAGAGTGACAGAACAGAGGAAAAACTCAAAGCTGGACAGAACAACAGATACATCTCATACATGCCAGGAGACCCGAATGCTAAACATAAATCTGCAGGAGAGGCAGGTAAACGCTCAGAGTCACATGCTGAAAAGATCAGGAACCCTGTGACTGCAGGCACCATTCTTGATATCAGAGTCCTGTCAGAAGCCACTGGGACTAAGGTTGTTATTCTAACAGAGGACAGCCATGGCAGACTTACCAAGATGCAGGAGCTGAACCCAGGAGCTAAAGCCACCAATCAAACTGTGACACTGATCTACAGACCAAAGAGTGCCCAACACCCAGACGGCCATTATGATGTGCGCATCAATAACCAGACAGTAAACATAGACAGCGAGAGCAAGAGCTGCCTGTTTCACGCTTTGGCACGAGGCATGAAACCAGAGGCCAGTGAAGAAGAGATCGCTTTAGAAGCAGACCGCCTCCGATCTGTGGAGGCCGACACTCTCCTCACACATCCAGGCCAATGGGAGCCTTTCATCAAGCGCAAAGAGTGGACTGAAGCAATCAGAGGAGGGGACTGGTACATGGCAGAGGGAGCTGCACCAACAAAGAGAAAAATCAAACTCATGAAAGAAACTGAGGAAGCTCTTGAGCAAGAAACTGGGAAAGTGAAACTGTACGAAGAGTGGCAGCAGGATGCAAAGAAGAGAAAAGGAATTGGAAAGTTCATCAACGGAGATCACCAACCACCAGTAAACAGTATACTGAAAGCAAATGAATTGAACCAGAATAGTAAATTAGCTACAGCTATGCTTGAGGTGGCAACAGCCTCTTCTCCTCTGGATAAAAAGCTTATAGAGGACGTATACAACACTCATGGGCTTGGGCTTCCAACTGTTTATGTACCAGAAGAGGTGCATCGTGAGTTCCCCAGTACAAAATCTCAAAGATTCAGGGACTTACTGGCTGAAACCATAAGCAAGGATGATGTTGCGGCCACCTTCAAACTGACCATCCTTGGTGCAATGCCCAGAAGTATGTTAGACAGCTCCAAGGAGTACAACAATTTTCAGAGTAAAAAAATGAGTCCCACCAGGCTGAAGGTTTTCCAGGACAGTTTTCCAGAACATTCTAAAGCATTAGTGGATAAATGGTTCAACCTCCTGGGACACAAAACAGATCTCATGAAACCAGAGATTAAAAAAGAAATGGAGGACTGGATCAATGCTAAAAAATATGAAGATCAAAATGATCCCTTCAGGAACCAAGTCATCAGCACCCTTCAAAGGTAAGATCATTTCTAAAATATCAGACATTGCATTTATAGGTTGTGTGTATTTTCTAAAGAGTAGTGTACGGGAAGCAAATTCAGCATAAAACCTGTCTGGTATTGGAATAGGAAATAAAGGGGTGGGAGGTCCATTGTGAAGGCTGTGCCTTCAGTATTGACCTACCAGTATTGTAAAACCGATAACTCAACTCTCTCTTCGGATAAATGAATCCATCCTCTCTTGGCTGGCCAGGCACCTGCAGTTTTATGAACTGAACACTTTCCACCAACATCACTGGAAATATGTGACTGTCCTGAATCATAAAAGCACATTGCCACAGAGGAGTTGTGTGCAGTCACTTCCTCCTGAATTTGTGGGAGAATAAAAAAGATATACAGATATAATTATATTTACTGAAAACATTAAGAGACCACTCCTACACTGTAAACTTTGCATTATGGTGAGCAGTTGATCAAAGTGAATTTGTGTTTTCTTTACAGTGTATCGAAACCTGGCAATGTGACTGATTGAACTGAAGAAGTAAAATGAAAACTACAGAGATCTTCCAGCTCCAGGTTCATCATCAAGAGACCTCTCTGAAGATGTATCATGAGAATCACTTTTCCTTTGGTTTAATTCAAAATAACCTTTTACTATCCAGGGGGCTCATTACAGAAACAATCCTAACTACTTGTCCTGTCTCATCTCAAAAGTGAAAGAAAGGAAACAAAGATTATTCTACTTTACCTTTGAATTCCATTATGGAAATCAAACATAGACTGTGCCATTGGACAGACTTTTCACAAACAACATAACTGTCAATGTGCCTATTTTACACCCCAAAAGTTCTTCCTTTGGCCATATGATTCTCTTGTAGTGAGTTCTAAATATCTCCACTGAAATGTTCTACGTTCTGTCCATTTGTCCTGGTGTGCCTGGAAATTGAGGAGCAATGGTACGTGGTTAGGACAGAAACATACATTTAAATAGAAATGAGACAAAGTCCATGTTTAAACAATCTATTGCTGTAACTAATGATAATTTGTCACTAGAACGTTGTCAGTGGAGAACATCACCCGTACTAATTACTGTAAAAGGTCATAATAATCTTCCTACCATATATTTAGGGTTCCCCTTTTTCCAAAGATGCAGTTGTTGAGCAGCCACTGCAGGCTAATATAATTTTTAAATTTAAATTTAAAATCAGGTCTGTGCTGTTTTATAGTGAGGACTCACAATGTTTGATTTTAGCTTCTTGGATGCTTCAGTGAAGTCTGAATCCTGACTATAGGTAAAACAATCTAAAGTTAGAAAACCTCAGTCTGTAATGGGAAAAGATTTAGGATGTGTCTTTAATGAGGAACCCTGGTTTGTTTGTTTTTACAGTACTAATCTTTTTTTCACTGTTTTAAAGAACATCAAAAAGAAGAAAAGTTTAAATATCAATGTTGGACTATATATTATTCCTGATATTGTATTGTTATTGAAATCTTTCCATCACTTCAGCAGGCATAACGTTTCCATATGTGCTTTGATCATCAATTTGAAGCCATACATATTTCCTCATGTGTGCTAGACTGTTTGATAAATTTGATTGTTTTTTAATAAGAAATATCTTCTTCATGTGCAGGACTGTGTCCTCATGGTTCAACATCCATTTAATGGGAAAAACAGACATAGATTTTAAATCGATGCTCTCATCCAGAGGAATTGATAAACAAAAGTGTAGATTTTTATTAAATCATCTCAGGATATCATTTAAGATCACAGATATCAGGTAACAGTGAAGAGAATGCTCTTGAGCAGGTTTGGTGAATCTTTTTATTTTCCTCTTTCTGTGCTCGTCATTTCTTCCTCAGAATATTTTGTCTTTTCATTATCTTCTCATAGTGTGCTGATTGTGGTAGCCTCAACAAATAGAAAAATATAATCAGCCATATGTATCAATTAATGGAACAAGCTAGCGACTAGCTAACTTTTGCTAACTATCAATTAAAGTAGGAAGGTTGCAGAGAAACAGAAACTGACTGTTTGATATCACAGAAGCTACAGAGAAAAAGCAAGAAAGTGGATGTAACAATGCTGGGAAATAGTATGTCATGTCGGGAAATGATTGTGGGAAATATTAGAGGAAAAAGCTTGAGATGTGCCTCAGACATGGATGATTAGTTGCTGAGCTGCTGATTGGATGAAGAGAATAGAGGCGGGGCTCAGAGAGGGTGAAACAGAGCTGATCAAATCCCAGACACAGTTTGGATGGCAGGA